GCTCCAAGACGGCCCAAGAGGCCTCCAAGACGGCCCCAAAAACGATTCAAGAACGCCCCAAGAAGGGGCTCACGAAACAGAATTTCTCTCGGCCCTTAGAGGCCCCCGGGAGGCCCCAATACGCCCTCAAAGACCCCAAGAGGCCCCCAAAAGGCCCTCAAGAGGCCTCAAGAGCCCTCCAAAAGGCCCTCTGGAGGCCTCCAAAAAAAACCGCAGGAGGCCCCCAGGAAGCCTCCAAGACTCCAGCCAGACGCGACTTGGGAAACGCGGGTCGGGGTGGTCCTCCTCCCCCGCGTTCGGCCTCCAGCCTCGAGCCTCGACCCTCCACGACGACGACGACGCCGGCGGGCGGCGGCGGCGGGCGGCGGCGGCGGCGGCGACGACGACGACGACAAAGGCGCTCCTCATCGCTCCTCATCCCCCTCCTCCTTCCTCCTCCTCCTCCTCCTCTTCCTCCTCCTCCTCCTCCTCCTCCTCCTCCTCGGGTCCAATTAGAAAAGAGATGGTAAGAGGAACGCCACAAGAAAGTGTTCCTTCACGCCCGTGTCCGCAACGCCAGAGGACATCAGGACGATAACAGAGCCAATGTTAGCATTCAAAGCCAGCCACCCTCCGACACGAGGGTTCCCTTATCGCATAAGATAAGATGTCTCTTCCCCCGGCTCGAACGGCCCCACAGCGGGATACCACGGGTAACACGCCCCCACGATGGCACCAAAGCCGTCAAACAAACTGCAAAAAACATTAACAAATTTATCAACAACTACACAGCTCCCGACGCCGCAGCTCCACACTGCAAACGACCACTCGGACAGGCGACCACGGTGCGACATTATGGGCCGGCGGAATGAGCGAAGCGATTACATAACAACTTTACGCCGTGCCCAACAGCCAAAAAAAAACAGCTCGTTTAGTGTTCGCCGTGGCGCCGCGCACATTCGCTATGTAAAAATGCACCAGCTTCACGGATTGAGGGCCATTCGGTTTCAAAATGTAGTGTTCGCCCGAGCACCGGCGCGCATTCGCATTAAATGTGCACTAATTTCACGGATTGAAAGGGGCCGTCTGTCTAAACGAGCTCTTGCCTTAGCGCCGCGCGCATTCGCTTGAAAAAACGCACGAGCTTCAAGGATCGAGCGCGGCCCGGTTTCGAAATCCAGCTCTCGCCTTCGCGCCGCGCGCAACACTCGTTTTTGAAAATGCACGCGTTTCACGGATTGAAGGCGGCTCGGTTTCAAAATCTAACTATCGCCCCAGCGCCGCGCGAATTGGTTTGTAAAAGTGTCCGCGAGCTTCAGGGGTTGAGGGCGGCTCGATTTCAAAATCTAGCTCTCGCCTCAGCGCCGCCCGCATTTGCGCTGAATTCAGTGAGTGCGTCTTGCAAGCTTCCTGCTGCCATTCTCAAGATCTCAAATCAGCCGGGCTGAGCTGAGCTCACAATGGCCTGGCCTCGCCGCTCACGCCTCGGGTATCTGGCGCCGCCACTGACGGATCGCTCTCTCCCGCGAACGCTCACTGATGCTGCGGTCGCCGGGGTTTGGTGTTTTCGGGCGCCTGGTGCCCGAGAGCAAGAGCTGCTAGAAGTCCTCATGCGACTTCACCGCCTGGGCGTTTTCGCTGCAGTGAATCTTCCTGCTGACCCAGCCCACACGGGCGTCGAGCTGAAGGATCTCGAGCAGCGTCTCAGTGCTGACAGCATCCGGGCGTCGCGGCACGCTCAGCGCCCCGTGGGCTAGAAACCCACTGCGTGGGGTCCATGCTGGCTAACATTTCTCCCCCATGAGCTTTGACAAATTTGAAAATACTTGGAATACCTTATCAATCGCCCCCCCATAAAAATTTAGCCCTCCCTCCTTTTGCGACCTTACCTTCCAGATCCCCTCGCTGCAGGGGGCCTTTAAAATTTCCCCCCCCCGACAAGATTGCGAGCGTGATCGCTTATGACGGCGATCACGTCGGCGATAGTGGTGGCAATACGTAGGCGGTGCCGCCAACGTGGAGGTCCGACCGCACTCTCGAGCAGCATGATGGCCGCAAGGGCTATCCATGCCCCCGTCCCTGCACTATTGGCGCGGCGCATGGAGCTCAAGGATGCAGATGTGTGTGGGGGGGGAAGTGTGTTGCGCAGCCATTGGTAGGATGTACATGTGAGGGGAAGTGCGCTGCGCAGCAATTGCCAGATCCAAATGTGGGTAGCTGATGACAGCGGCGGGGATCCAGATGAAGACGGTGATGGAGATAACCATGTGGACTAGTACACATAAATAACATGACAGATAGGAGCGGCGTGTACGACTACGGTGCTGATTTTGATGATGACAATTGATTTTGATGATGACAATTAAGAAGACGACAAATAGGATGCTGACTATGGTAAAGATGCTGAAAATGATGCGGATGATGCTGCTGACGATGACGGTGCTGATGACCATGATGATGACCATGATGATGACGACGATGATGTCGACCATAACGATTATGATGATGCCAAATATGATGACGATGGCGATGATTATGATTTGATGAAGATTATGGTGGTGATGCTGATGCTGATGCTGATGAAGATGAAGATGATGATGAAGAAGAAGAAAAATAAGAAAATTATGACGGTGGTGGCGATGGTGACGTTCATGCTTCGCGGGCTGCCGGTAACAAGCACAAGCTCCGAACATGCCTCGCGCACAAAGGCGATGCGAAATTCCATGCGCAGAAGGCACCCTAATGAACCCGACCCTCTGAAGGTGAAGTTCAAGAAAACCCCTCAACAAACCGGACCCCACTGTCTCCCCAAAAGGAATTGTTTTAAGACCAGACCTGGAACACGAATAATACGAAATCTGGTGTACTGGCCCTTACGGGATTTCGAAGGCCCAAGACGCCCCAAGAGGTCTCAAGAAGAGCGCCAGGGCAGCCCAACAAGATCCCAAGAGGCTCCCAAGGCGGCCCAGGGGGGCTCCAACACGGCCCTGCAGCAGGCCCTTCAAATGGGCGAAGGAGACCCCAAGACGGCCCAAGATGCCTCCAAGATGGCCCAGGATGCCCCCGAGATGGCCCACGAGGGGAAAATCAAGCTAGCCTTGGCAGCCGTTTCCTGAGGTTTCCTGCAGGCTTGCCTCCAAGACACCCAACATGCCCCCAAGAGGACCCTCAGAGCCCCCCAGAGGCCCCCAAGACGCCCCCGAGAGGCCCAAGAGACCCCCAAGAGGCCTCACAGAGGTCGCCCTACAGACCACCACAGGCCTCCCAAACGTAGCTCACAGGCTCCTGGGAGGCCCTCGAGAGGCCCTAGAAGAGCGCCAGGATACATGTTTACCTCAACATCCCTCATGCTGCGCTCCTGCCTTAGCGCGGTGGCGGGTTTGCCGCTGACAGCTGGGTGTGCATGTACATGTAGAACCATCGCAGGGAGGGAGGGAGGTAGGGAGGGAGAGAGACAGAGAGAGACAGGAAGACAACAAACACACACACACACACACATAATAGAAAAACGAAAGAGATAGAAAGAGAGAGAGAGAGAGAGAAAGAGAAAGAGAAGCATATATTCAAAACAACATGCACGTATATATATACCGCATAGACCACCCTTCGGGTGATAAGGAGGTGAGGGGGGAGGAGGGACCAACGTCGCACTCGATTGATCTCACTATCGAACTCACTACCGATCTCACAATCGATCTCAATCGATAGATCTCACAATCGATATGATTATCGATCTCACAATCAATATCACAATCGATCCCACAATCGATCTCACATTCGGTCTCGCTATTGATCTCACAATCGATCTCGCATTCGATATGACTATCGATCTCACTATCAAACTCACTATCGATCTCATTATCGATCTCACATTCGGTCTCACTATCGATCTCACTATCGATATCACAATCGATCTCACAATCGATCTCGCATGCGGTATCACTATCGATCTCACTATCGAACGCGCTTTCGATATCATTATCGATCTCACATTCGGTCTCACTATCGATCTCACTATCGATATTACAACCGATCTCACAATCGATCTCACATTCGGTCTCATCATCGATCTCACTATCGAACGCACTATCGATCTCAATCGATCGATATCACAATCGATCTGACTATCGACCTTACAATCGATCTCACAATAGATCTCACAATCGATCTCACATTCGGTCTCACTATTTGTCTCACTATCGATATCGCCATCGATATCACAAACTATCTCCCATTCTGTCTCACAATCGATCTCACTACCGATACCACTATCGATCTCACTATCGATGTCACAACCGATCTCACAATCGATCTCACATTCGGTTTCATGTTCGATCTCACAACCGATATCACTATCGATCTCACTATCGATCTCACATTCGACCTCACTATCGATCTCACAATCGATCCGCATCACCAACATCAGCATCATCGGGACACCATCAACACCATCATCATCATCATCATCATCATCATCATCATCATCATCAGCACCATCATCATCAACAACATCATCATCATCGGGACACCGACGGGGCACCGACGGGACACGGGCGGGACACCGCGGGCCCCCGGCTGCCCGGAAGGGAGTCATTTGGTCCGGCCGCGCCTCAGCCACACGGGACACCAGCGGGACACCGGCGGGACACCGCGGGCCCCCAGCCGCCCGGAAGGGAGACATTTGGTCCGGCCGCGCCTCAGCCACAGGAGACTTTCTCTCGCCCGCCCACGCAGCTTCGCCTCGCCCGCCCGCACGGCACGCACGAACACGAAACCGAAATCGATTTCCCGGTAGGGGGGCTCTCCGTTCCACTTCGATCTCACCCCCTCACCTCCGATACACATATCACAGAGAGAGAGAGACGGATACCAAGGATGACAAGGAGGAGAACGAGAGGGACGAGGAGGAACGAGTAACGATCCAAGCCTGTGCAAGCCTCCTCGCTGCGACGCTGCGACTCGGGCGCTTGCTGCTCTCGCGCTACCAGCAGGATGAACGCCCGCACCTCGGCAAGCTGCGCTCAAAGCGCCATCTTCGCCGCTTCCTCCTTAGGCTCCACCGCCGCCCTGGGCTGCACTGCCTGCTGGACCTCCGCTGCCGTACTGGGCTGATCCGATGCCGCGTTGGGTTCCGCCACCGCCTTGGGATCCTCCACCGTCGCGTTGCGCTCCTCCTCTCAACGGCGAGCGAGGGCGGAAATGAAAAGGAGAAGGCAAGGCGGCGGGGCTTCTCAGAAGGCCTCCGACCTTCTGAGATGCTTTTTGTGCCTTCGGGGAAGGCTTGGAAAACTTCTCACCTGGCCGGGTGACTTCCGAACCTTCTGAGAAGGCCTCTCACTTCCCCCCCCGTGCTCGCCACCGATCCTCGTCCGGAAGCGCAGGCTCTTCCGCCGCCACCTCCAGAAGAACAGCAAAAACTACGCCTCGGGCAAAAACTGTCAGAGATCTCCACGCGGATATTCCTGGGACCGGCGCCGACCCCGCCCTCCCTGGCGCGCGGGGAACGAGCCAGGGAGCCGGCGCCGAGGAGGCTCGGCCAGGACCAGCCGTCGGAAGTCATCCCGAGGCTGGCAGTCCGCCGAGAACCAACAAGAAAACATCGAAACTTCGTCCCCCCCTAGCTGGAGGAACAAAAAACTGCAAAATGTCCATCCCCGAGCCCTGCACGCGCCGGAGGCGCTACCAGGGAGGCCCAGAGCCGATGCAAGAAAGCTGCGCCGCCAGGGGGGCCCAGAGTTCCCCAAGCAGTGCTTACATGAACCATGAACCATGAACGTGGGACAGGGGGCTCTGATTAGTTTTCTCAGGAACCATGGTCTGCGAGTCGGTCTGGCGGCTATGTGATCCCCGTCGCCGCCCCACCGCCGCCTCGTCGCCGCACGTCGAGTAGGCTTGCGCGTCGGATTGGCGGCTGTGGACGCCGTCGCCGCCCCGTTGCCGCCTCGTCGCCAGCCGTCGTCTGGGGCTGCGCGTCGGGTCCTCCGCCTTAGGGTTTCCGTCGACGCCTTCGTCGCCGCCCTCGTCGCCGCCCGTCGTCTGGGCCTGGGTGGTGGTCTGGCCGCCGTGTGGCCGCTGTCGCATCCCAGTCGTCACGTCGTCGCCGCCCGCCGCCTCGTCGCCAGAAGTGCTTTGCATTACTTCGCATTGCTCGGCATTGGTTTTTGCAATTCTTTGCGCTACGTTGCTTTGATTTGCGCTACTTTGCATTGCATTGCATTGCATTGCATTGGTTAGCGTTGCTTTCTTTGCGTTGCTTTGCGGTTCAATCGAACGCTCGACTGCGGGCCTGGCGATCCAGTCCTGGTCCGTCACCGCACCACATGATTTACACCACAGAATGGTAGAACGCTAGATTCCACCACGTCGAGAGCTCCTCCTCCACATGGTGTGGACAACCGTGCCTGCACCATGTCGACTACACCACATACCTTACGCCGCATATCATGCCCCTTATAGCTTGCACCACAACTGATGCACCGTCTAGCTTTTACCACGTCGAATATGCCGCATAGCTTGCACCGCATAGCTTGCAGCACGTAGCTTACACAACGTACTTTACAAAACCTCGATTGCATACCACATAGCACATAGCTATACCCGCATAGCTTACATGATGTATATCTTACACCACCTAGTTTGCACCACATACCTTAAATCACGCAACTTGCACCATAAAGATTACATCACCTAGCTTGCACCGCAAACCTTACATCACGTAGCATGCAACACAGAGCTTGCACCACTGACCTAGCACCACAAGTGTTGCACCACATACCGCATAGTTTGCACCACGCCGATTGCACAACAGAGCTTGCAACACATAATTTACACCGCGTAGCTTGCACCACATTGTTTGCAACACGTTGATCCTTTCACATAACTTACACCGCATAGCTTACATCAACCGGCTTGAGCCACACATGCTGCACCACATAACTTGCACCACATAGCTTACACCAAATAGCCTACACAACCACAGTTTAACAAACACTTACTGTGTGGGGTCCACGCTGGCAAACACGTATGCTCATGCAATGTGTTGCTCTTCGGCCAACGTTGCCCCTGACCTTTGCGGGGAAGACGTCGCCGAGCGTGATGTCCGAGATCAGCAGCGTCGCGGCCACGTGCCCCGCGAGGCCCTTGACCTGCCACTTCAGGCTCTCCTTCGGGCAGAAAGCCTCCCCCTTGGTGAACGCCGCGCCGCTCGTGTAGGCCTTGTAGTTTGGACTGATGACCCACTGGCCCTTGGCCTCGGAGGGGGAAGAAGATACCGATTCGGAGCCACGTGTCTTCGCCCGAAACGCAGCGTGCATGCTTTGTTGAACGTCTCACGCTCGCGAACGTATCCCGAATCATGTCTACTGTGTGTGCGCGGTGGTGGTGACGACATGGCCTCGTGGTCGTGTTCCTGTACGCGGCCGATAACGCCGCTCGACCTGGATCAGGAAGCAACTTCTTCGATGTCTTCGTGAAAAGGACTACGGCCTAACTTCGCCCGATTGCGGGGCCATTAACTAAGCCGGATCAGCCCAGACGAAGCTCGGGATTAAGCCCGATTTGAAAGGATCAAAGCGGATTGAGCAGAACTGCGCCAGGTTAGGCCACTTTTCGACCACGGACGGCTATACCAGCGCCGATGCTGAATTCCACCACCCTGTACTCGTATCCGAAACTCGAGAGACCTCGTCCCCACGTGTGGCTTTCCCTTGAAAATCTTGTCAAAACGCACCCTGGGACAGGTCCAGGGAGTAGCCGTACTGGTTCTCTTCTGTTCTCCCGTGGCCTGCTGGAAGTACAGGAACATGGGCACCGCGCCCTCTTTCTTGAAGATGGGTTAGATGCTCCTTGTGGGAATCGTCCTGGAACCACTCGCTCTACTCGTGCGTCGTTGCTGCGTCGAACGTCCGTCGACTTGAGTCGAGCTCGAACGAATTTGAGTCAAGCTTAAATCGAGATGGACTCGAGCTATAGTCGAACTAGGGTCGAAGATCCGAAACGGGGCCCCCGGGGAGGTCCCTCAAACGAGCATCTAAAATGGGCTTGCCGCCATGCATGGGCTGGGGGGCAATGGCAGTCAGGATGTACGTGCCCGTCCAAGACGTGTCGGCAATCGACGCCGGCAAGTCGCTGCCCGCCTTCACATCCAGCTTCCAAGGACAAGCGGCCTTGGAGATAGACCGAAATACGTAAACATCAACTCTTGGAGATCCGCGGGGATCCCTTGAATCGCCGCTGCAATCTCCCTTAGCGCGCGGAGCGCGCCAGGGGCGGCTCCAGAGGCGCCGCCAAGGAAGCCCAGCGCCGATCCTAGAACCCTGCGCGAACATCCGAAAATATATGTTTATGCCGTGTTTTCTTCTTGGAACTCGAGGTCCCAACAGGGTGCGGTGACAGAACGTGCGGTGACCTCGGAATCCCCGACGACCTCACCGCACGGTGCATCACCACACGGCTTGGGGACCTTGGAGATCCCAATTGTCCGAGATATCCTGGACCGTGCTGTCACCCAAAATTCCGACCGACTCACAAACCGGTATTGTCACCGCACCGTTTGGGGATTCCCGATCGTGACCTCGGTCGGCACAATGTCGATGCCCGGGCGCGACTGCCAGATCTTGTCATTGTTCAGGAGCTTCCAGTTGTTAGCGTCGTGCGGGCACAAAGCGTCAGCGTGGGCGTACGTCATGGCCAGGTCCACCGTGGGGTTGGGGCCGATCATCCAGTTTCTCTTCGACGCAATGTAGTAGATGTACTGGTCTACTTCCTACATGACAAAAGATTTCTGCACGTGATGCGAAGTTCCCTCTCCTCCCCTCCTCCTCCTCCAACTGTTCCTCCTCTTCTCCTTTTCCGCCTCATCCACCTCATCCTCGTCCTTCTCAGGTTCGCATCACGTGACGGATCCGAATTGCGGATCCTTGTCCGTGGACTGGTAGATCGGCCTGTGGTCGTGGAAGGCAGTGGGAACCATGTTGCTGATGTAGTATTCGGACATCCACGGAAGTTCTGCGTCCTTGGTGCTAAAGTCGACCACCCTGGGGCAGCTGTCGGTCGACTCGTTGAAGGAAGTGGAGTGCGTGCACTCTGGGTTGCTGGCGTGGTGGCCAAGGCAGCAGCCCCCCACCGTCTCCAGTGCCTCCTGCAGCTCGGGGGTGAGGTGCTTGCGCTGCTGGTGCATGGAACAATAGTACTCGGCCCACTTCTGGCACCCTCCGTGGTTGGTGTTCTCACACGTGGCCTTGAAACTAGCAGGCTGCTGTACCAGCCGGAGGTAGAAGGGGTTCGCCTTTGTGGGCTTGAACATGCCGGTGAAATGCGAGATCACGACCTCCTTCTTCTGGCAGATGCGCTCAGTTTTGCAGGGCCTCCTGAGGCCAGGCGGCACCCCCACGGGATCGATGCAATCAAACTTCTTGTCGAGCTCGACGACTTTGCCGTCGAATACATCGTTGATGATGTTCTGGTCGAGCATCTCATCGCCGCTGCGGACAGAGATCATCTCGAGCATGGACTGGAAGGTCTCCAGGCTGGGCTTGAAGAGCATCACGCCACTGTTGTACTCGGTGCCACCAGTCTTGAGGTTGGTTTTACACCCGTCGGGGGCCATCGCGACGTGCCCATCGGGGACGAGCGTGGAATTCAACAGGAAATTGATCCCATCGTTGAACACGTACGTATCGGCGTCCAAGAAGAGGACGCGCGCGAAGGGCAGGCGGAATATGTTCAGCTTCTCGAAACTGTCCTTCCAGCGGTACGTGAAACGCGCGTCACAATGCTGGATGCCCTCGCCGCACGGGTCCACGTCTTCGACCTTGAGCACTCTCCAGCCGGCCTGGCGGAGAAGAACCTGGTAGTCCAGCCTCATGCCCGCGATAATCATGGCCACCTTGGGGACGTCCGGCGCGTACTTCGTCAAGGCCCTGCCAAGCATGATGCACATGTCGATGTACTCTTGGTGGTTCTTGCCGGCATGTGTCACGATCGCGGTCAACTCCCGAGTGTCCTCCATGAACCGGGGTTTGGTATTGATGTCGATCCACGAGACCTTGAAGGGAACCGATAGGAGGGGGGCATGCTCCGGGGTGTGGGGTGGGGTGGGGGGGGGAGGGGGGGGGACATCGGCCTGGAACCGACCACACATCGCCACTGGATGGACGACAGGCCCCCCACAGCGAGCCCACACGCTCCGTGGGGGGGGCCCCGATCGGCGACGAACGGGCGACCGATGCGGCATCGACACCCTTCGGTGCCCCCGAGGCCTTGCTCTTGACCCACGCCTGCACCTTTGGACGCCCGAAGTAGGGAGGATTTCAAACATGGCCGCGTTGCCAAACAACCAGCGTTGTCCAAAACCGACAGCGGCCGCTGCCCCCAAGCGAATCGACGTCCGCGGCGACGCCGACGGGGAATCGTGCTCAGAACGGACGGGAACTGCTATTAGGAAAACCAAGAGGTACACATACCGATGAAGCATCTTCATCGTGGCATGTTGCACTTCCAGGGGGCATAGCGACCGAGGCTGGTTTGCCAGAGCGGCCTTCGCTCTGGCCCCACGTGCGCATCATGAAAACAAGAAATTCTGTAGTCATGATTCGGAACATTGCCGTTGGCATGATGGTACTATAATTCCAACGGCTACTTTCCGAATCACAACCCAATGTGTGTTGCTGGCGCGCCTTTGCGCCAATCCTATGCGCATCTTTGAATGTGGCCACGTGCGCGAGGAGCCAGTGATGTGGCCAGCGAGGCAGAATAGCCCCAGCGGCAGCGCCGCAAGGCTTTGAAGTAGAGCAAAAACAAAACTGACGGATGATGATAAGGAGGGGAGGGCAAAGAAGCCTCGACAATAATCGACGCATGGCCACGATAAAAAGGCCATTGACAGCAACTACCGTGCATATCAGCACGTAAGCATCTAACTACGAAATTGATGGTGCCACGTGTTGTTTTGAACAAAACCGCCCGATATTGGTCCCTCGAAGCCCCGCGATCCCGAGGGGCCTCTTGGAGCGGGGGTGGGGGGCTTCAGGGGGGGGGGGGGGAGAACGCGGGCGAGGGGCGGGCCTTCTGGACGCATGGAGCGTGAGATGCATGCACTGCTACGTTGTAGTCTAATGACGTTACTGTTGGAGTAAGGCACAGGGCAACCAACGGTATAGCTGGCCGTATCCTTGGAAGCGTGACCACATCGGCATTCAAGGGGCAACGGGATGCACATCATGGTCGCAAATCCCCCAACCTCCCCCAGTGGGGCTGAGGGCAAAGGCCGAAGGAGCGGAGGTAAGGAACAAATCTTCAAGCTGACCAAGTGCATTGCAATGTCGGTGCGGTCGAATGATTGATACATACACAGAAACGCCTATACATAGATATGTGTATGCATGCATGCATTCATGAATACATGCATGCATGCATCCGTGTAGGCATGCGTGTGTATGTGAGTATGTATGTATATATGCATGCATGCATGCATGTATGTATGTATGCATACATGGTTGGGTGTGTACGTATGTGTGTGTTATGTATGTGTGTATGCATGTATGTATATGTGTATGTGTGTATGTGTGCATGAATGTATGTGGTTATGCATGTATGCATGTATGTATACGTGCATGCATGCATGCATGTATGTGTGTATGGTGGTATGTCTAACAAACTATATGTACACGCATGTGTGTATGTCTGTATGTATATGTATGCATGTACGCATGTGTGTATGTGTACTTTGTATGTATTGGTACATGTAAGCATGCATGTACGTGCCTGTGTATGTATGTATGCTTGTATGTAGGTATGTATGTATGTATTCGTGTATGTATGTATGTATGTATGTATGTTTGTATGTATGTATGTATGGTTGTATGTATGTGTGCATGCATGCATGCATGTATGTTTGTATGAATGTATGTATGCATGTATGTATGTATTCATGTATGCGTGTAGACATATACTATGTTGAATGGAATTCGCCGGCCCAACGGGCCAGAGGCGTGCTAAGATCTCCGGTAACTGGTTAACAATTGTATTGTACTAGTTCGCGCGCGCGGGGCGGCCCCTGGGGGTCCCCCGGCGAAAAGTACCCCGCCCGCCGCCTGACCAGGTCCCGCCCGGTTCAACTCAGAGATGGTTTTCCTTCTGGGTGCGGCCTCTCAGGCCGCCCTGAGCGCGCCAAGAGTGCCCCAAGAGGCCCCCAAGACTGCCCAAGAGGCCCCCGAGACGCCCAAAGAGCGCTCGAAGACGCCGAAGATGACCCCAAGACGGCCCAAAAGGCCCCCAAGACAGCCCAAGAGGCCTCCAAGACGCCCCAAGAGCCTTCCAAGAGGCCTCCGAAGAGAGCCCCAAGAGGCCAAAATCGTTGATTTTCATTTGTTTTTTCGATGTTTTTTGTGTTCTGGCTTTTTCGGCTTCCGGACGCTCCAAGACGGCCCAAGAGGCCCCCAAGACCGCTCCAAGACGGCCCACGAGGCTCCCAAGACGGCCCCGGAACGGCCCAGGAGGGCCCCCAAGACGGCCCAAGTGCCGCCCAAGACGGACCAAGAGGCCCCAAGACGGGCCCAAGAGGGGCTCAAGAGGGGAACCGAGAACTGAAAAATCGAGCCCTCCGCCCCAGAAGGCGCCCAGGAGGCCCCAAAAAGGCCCCAAGAGGCCCCCAAGAGGCCCCCAAGACGCCCCAAGAGGCGCCCAAGAGGCCCAAAAGAGGCCCCAAGAGGCCCCAAAACGGCCCCCAAAACTCGGCTAGCCCACAACGGTGCGACAATATGGGCCGGCGGAATGAGCGGAGCGATTAAATAACAGTTTCCGAACAAATTCCTGAACAACCCCTGGGACAACCCCTCCAAGATGCATACCATGGGCGTCCCAGCGTGTGATTGTGGCTGGCACTCGAGCGGCAGCACAATATCGGCGGCGAAGATAGGGGCGAATAGCCCAGGGGCGGGCATTACACGTATTTGACCAGGAGCCTGTTCGAAGACATAGATCATCGGCGCACCTGAATACATGTATTGCTCTCCCCTGGGCTATCCGCCCCTATCGTCGCCTCTGACAATATCCACTTAGGGATGTGGCCGGCGCTGATGCGAGAGCACCACGCCTAATGATGAGGCATGTGGCCAGCGCGAAGGCGACAACACCAATCCCAGACGGGATGTAGCTTGAGCTTGGGCGAGAACACCATTCCCAATCACGGATGTTGCTGGCACTCGAGCGGTAACACCATACGCACCGTTCCCAATCAGGGACGTGGCCAGCGCGCAGTGTTGTGAGGATGCCTCAGGCGGAACTGGCCAGACCAGCTTTCGTGCGGCATCTCATAACCCAGAATTGTGAAGAAGTCTCGGGTGAAACTGCCTGGAATACCTCTGGTCAGAGCACTTCTGAGCCCAGAGTTGCGAGAACGTCCCAGGCGAAACTTGCCAGACAACTTCGTGTTTGGCATCCTTGAACCCGAAATCTGGGGGAAGTCTCATGCCAAACTGGCCGGACCACTTCAGGCCACAGTATATTGGAGCCCGAGAAGTCGCAAGGTTGTCTCCTGCAATTACGCTACCGAGGGAACGCACATATTATGGCAGGAGTGATGGTAGCTGAAATGAAGCATGTGATAATGATATTGGTGGCCGTTGCCCGCCGATGCCATTATGCCCTGGACGACCGTCACGGATAACGGCCGCGGTGAGAGACCACCCTCTCCGCACTTCCGGTGGTGTCGAGAATCTGCCATGCCTGCTGTGCCATGGACGACCGTCACAGAGAGCGGCACTGGTGAGAGACTACCCCCTGCGCACCCCGTATGGTGTCGAGAATCTGCCATGCCTGCTGTGCCATGGACGACCGTCACAGAGAGCGGCACTGGTGAGAGACCACCCCCTGCGCACCCCCTATGGTGTCGAGAATCTGGCATGTCTGCTGTGCCATGGACGACCGTCACGGATAGCGGCCGCGGTGAGAGACCACCCCATGCGCACCCCCATGGTGCCGAGAATCTGCCATGCCCGCTGTGCCATGGACGACCGTCACGGAGCGGCCGCGGTGAGAGACCACCCCCTGCACACCCCCCTTGGTGTCGAAAATATGCCATGCCTGCTGTGCCATGCGCGACCGTCACAAATTAGTGGCCGCGGTGGAGGACCACCCCCTGCGCACCACCTATGGTGTCGAGAATACGCCGTGCCTGCTGTGCCATGGGCGACCCTCATGGATAGCGGCCGCGGTGAAAAACCACCCCCTGCGCACCCTCTATGGCGTCGATAACTCCACGTCTGCTGCGCCATGTACGACAGTCACGGATAGCGGCCGTGGTGAGAGACCACCCCCTGCGCACCCCCTGTGGTGTCGAGAATATGCCACGCCTGCTGTGCCATGGACGACAGCCACGGATAGCGGCCGCGGTGAAAGACCGCCCCCTGCACACCTCTTACGGTGTTAAGAACATGTCACGCCTGCTGCGCCATGGACGAAACTCACGGATAGCGGCACTGGTGAGAGACCACCCCCTGCGCACCCTCCATGGTGGCGAGAATCTGATATGCCTCGTGTGCCCTGGACGACCGTCACGGATTGCGGCCGCGGTGAGAGACCACACCCTCCGCACCCCCTATGGTGTCGACAATATGCCACGCATGCTGGATAGCGGCCGCGGTGAGAGACCACCCCCTGCGCACCCCCTACAGTGTCGATAGTATGCGATGCTTGCTGCGCCCTGGACGACCGCAACGGATAGCGGCCGCGGTGAGAGACCACCCCCTGCGCACCCCTTATGGTGTCGAAAATATGCCATGCCTGCTGTGCCATGCGCGACCGTCACGGATAGCGGCGGCGGTGAGAGACCGCACCCTGCGCACCCCCTCTGGTGTCGAGAATATGCCACGTTTGCTGTGCCATGGACGACCGTCATGGATAACGGCCGCGGTGAGAGACCACCCCCTGTGGACCCTTTTTATGGTGTCGAAAATATGCCATGCGTGCTGTGCAATGTACGACCGTCACAGGTAGCGGCCGCAGTGAGAG